GAAAGAGAAAGAAAGAGAGAAAGAGAAAGAAAGAGAGAAAGAAAGAGAGAAAGAGAGAGAGAAAGAGAGAGAGAAAGAGAGAGAGAAAGAGAGAGAGAAAGAGAGAGAGAAAGAGAGAGAGAGAGAGAGAGAGAGAGAGAAAGAGAGAGAGAAAGAGAGAAAGAGAGAAAGAGAGAAAGAGAGAAAGAGAGAAAGAGAGAAAGAGAGAAAGAGAGAAAGAGAGAAAGAGAGAAAGAGAGAAAGAGAGAAAGAGAGAAAGAGAGAAAGAGAGAAAGAGAGAAAGAGAGAAAGAGAGAAAGAGAGAAAGAGAGAAAGAGAGAAAGAGAGAAAGAGAGAAAGAGAGAAAGAGAGAAAGAAAGAAAGAAAGAAAGAAAGAAAGAAAGAAAGAAAGAAAGAAAGAGTTCCAAGCTCCTAGCTTCAGCCTGGCCCAGCCCTGGCTGTTGTGGGCATTTGGGGAGTGAACCAGCAGATGGAGGATCTCTCTCCTTATATATGTGTCTTGTCTCTGTCTCTACCTTTGTCATGTTACCTTTCAAATAAATAAGTAAATCTTTAAAAAAAATGTTTTTAAATGAGAGACAATAAATACATTTTTTTAAACCTCAGAGGGTGGGAGAGACAAGTTTTAAGCGTTGCAATTAAGCCACTGCTTTGGATGCCCATACCCCATATCAGAGTGCCTGGATTTAGCCTTAGCTCCCCCCCATCCAATCCAAGCTTCCTGCTTATGTACATCCAGGGAGGCAAATGATGGCTCAATACCAGCCATATACCTGGGAGACCCAGACAGAGTTCCAGGCTGCTGGCTTCATCCTAGTCTAGTCCTGGCTGCTGCAGGTATTTGGGGAGCAAACCAACAGATGAGAGATCCGTGTGTGTGTGTGTGTGTGTGTGTGTCTGCCTGCCTTTCAAACAGAAATGAAAATGATTTTTTTTTTTAATTTTATTTGTTTGAAAGGCAGAGTTACAGATAAAGAGAGGAAGAGACAAAGAAAAAGGTCTTCTATCCTCTGGTTCAGTCCCCAAATAGTCGCAACAGCCAAAGTTGGGCCGATCTGAAGCCAGGAACTAGAAGCTTCTTCTGGGTCTCCCACATATGTACAGGGGCCAAAGCACTTGGGCCATCTTCTACTGCTTTCTCAGGCCATAGCAGAGAGCTGGATTGGAAGAGGAGTAGCCGGAACTAGAACTGGCGCCCACACGGAGTGCCAGAGCCACAGGCAGAGGCTTAGCCCACTATGCCATAGTGCCGGCCCCATGAAAATTATTCTTTAAAAAAAGAGACAGTGGAGGATGGCCCAAGTGCTTGGGCCCTGCACCCACATGGGAGACCAGAAGAAGCACCTGGCTCCTGCCTTCAGATCAGCACAGTGCACCAGCCGCAGCGGCCATTGGAGGGTGAACCAACGGCAAAAAGGAAGACCTTTCTCTCTGTCTCTCTCTCTCTCACTGTCCACTCTGCCTGTCAAAAAATTAAAAAAAAAAAAAATGAAAAAAAAGAGAGAGAGAGAGAAAGAGAGACCTAAGTGAACTTAAATCTTGATAAGTTACTGCCAGTTAAAAAAAGAGAAGTAGGGGCCAGCGCTGCTGTGTAGTGGGTTCAGCCACTGCCTCTAGCACCAGAATCCCATATGGACGCAAGTTCAAGTCACAGCTACTTCACTTCTGATACAGCACCCTACTAATGCTCCTGGGAAAGCAGCAGAAGATGGCCCAAGTGCTTGGGCCCCTGCACCTACATGCGAGACCCAGATGAAGCTCTTGGCTCCTGGCTTCAGCTTGGTCAAGGCCTGGCTAAGCCCTGGTCATTGTGGCCATTTGAGGAGTGAATCCGTGGATGGAAGATCTCTCTCTCTATGCAATTCTCACTTTCAAATAAACAAACATATCGTTTTTAAAATAAAAAAAAAAGAAAGAGAACTAAGAGTTATGAAGTGAACTCTGTTCTCCAAAATTCATACGTTGACACAACTCCAAAATCCTCAGTAAGCAAGGCTTTTTTCAAGAGATGATTAAAATAAAAGGAGGCTTTTGGAGTAGAGCTCTGATCCCATTTGAGTTATGTCCTTTTAAAAGAGATACCAGGGGTACAGGTACACGGTGGGACAACCACAGGAAGAGGCAGCAAGAGGGCAGTCATCTGCAAGTCAAGGATGAAAGTTTCAGAGGAAACCAACCCTACGTTACTCTTGACCTTGTACTCCTCATCTCTAGGAAGCTTTAATATAACGAACTCTGGCTGTAACCAGCAAAACACACACACTGAAGTAAGTCAGGAGGCCAGTGCTGTGGCACAGCAGGTTAAGTCACCACTTGTGACACCTTTAGTCCATATCAGAGTGCCTGCTAGAGTTCCAGCTGCTCCACTTCCTATCCAACTTCCTGCTAATAGGCTGGAGAAAGCAACAGAAGATGACGCAACCACTTGGGCCCCTGCCATCCATTTAGGAGACCAAAATGGTGTTCCAGGCTCCAGGCTTCAGCCTGGCCCAGACCTGGCTGTTGCAGCCAACTGGGGAGTAAACCAGATCAAAGATCTCTCTATCTCTCTCTGTCTCTCTCTCTCTGTAGCTCTGCCTTCCAGATAAATAAATATTAAATCCTCAAAGAAAGAGAAACAAGTCAGAACCTGGGCTTTGACTCTCCAGACAGGAGAGACCTTTTGCAAGTCACTTACCATTTCTTTTTTTTTTTTTTTAAAGATTTATTTATTTATTTGAAAGTCAGAGTTACATAGAGAGAGGAGAGGCAGAGAGAGAGAGAGAGAGAGGGGTCCTCCATCTGACGGTTCACTCCCCAGTTGGCTGCAATGGCTGGAGCTGAGCTGATCCAAAGCCAGGAGCCAGGAGCCTCCTCTGGGTCTCCCATGTGGGTGCAGGGGCCCAAGGACTTGGACCATCACCCACTGCTTTCCCAGGCCACAGCAGAGAGCTGGATCAGAAGAAGAGCAACCGGGTCTCGAACTGGCGCCCATATGGGATGCCAGTGCTCCAGGCCAGCGCATTAACCCACTGCACCACAGCACCGGCCCCCAGGTCACTTACCATTTCTAAGATGCAGTTTCTTCAACCAGATCAATCAGACTTGAAAAGCAGCAAAAGAGCATCTCAGATTAGAATAAATGATATTATCATTTTTATGCAGGTTTTGTATGACCTCGGTATTCTTCCAACTTTTACTGACCAAACTAACACATCTGAAGCTTTAACAAAAGTTACTTGGACAGCTTGTTAAGACGCACATTCTGTTTCAGCTGCTCTTGGGCTGAGCATCTTTGACAAATTCCCAGGTACACCACATTTTGAGTAGCAAGGGTGTAGTACACCAAAACCAGCTTAAGCTCTACAAAGCTTGCAGTTGTGTGCTTCTCTGCAATCAGCCTGGTATTTAAGAAACCAAAGACACTCCGGACTCAACCTGCACTAAACGTGCTTTGCTATTCCCTAAGACACTCTGAAATTAACTGACAGTCCCCATCTGACGCAGAAAGGAATAAATAATATTACCACCAGTAACACTGAATTAGGTGAAGTGAGTTTAAGCACAAACACACTCATGTGCATTTTTACAACACAAAATCCAGCTAGTCAAGCAAATTATATCTTCCCAAAAACATGAGTTTTTTATTTCTAGAAAATTTGTTAAAATCTCCAGCTTATTTTATCTGCTACAAGCCTACAAGGATTATCTGGCATTCTGGTTTGATTCTGAATGTAAATACATTCATACCATCACTAAACCTAAAGATGTTTCTATTAATTGCCAAATAATCTTTACATATTGTTTAGAATCCTGAAATCCTATTGCCATAACCAAGTTCATTTGTGGTGAGAATTTTCTCTGGCGTTAGAAGTATAAATAGGGCAGAACCATCCTCCTGCCCTGGGGTGTTATATAGTCCACACCCCTTTGCTGTAACTGAACTGCTCCACTTTCCCTGTGCCAGGTTCCAGCAGGAAAAATTCTACAGTCCTATCACAAACAACCGGGAAAAATCTTTCTGCTTCCACCAAAATCTTTCTCGGTGACCAAAGACAGAGGAAAAGGCATCATACAATGGACGTCTCACGTGACAGAGTCACTCTGCCCTTAAACTGAAGCCTTGGTACTGAGTAGGGAAGTTTGAAATAACGTGAAAATGGAGGAGGAAAATCCTTCTCCAAGTGTGTGTGTGGGGGGGGGATCCATTATGGCTGCAAACTGCTCTTCCCTACTCCCTTCTGAAGAATAACTAAATCTCAACATCACTACCGCACTATAACTGAGCTCGTTTGAATTGTGCTGGGGTGGTATGCCAATTGCAATCTTGCACCGGTAGGCAATTTACCAGTCCTTACTACTCAGCCAAACCATTCAGAGTAGGAATACTTCCCTCATTCACCTCCATGTCACAAAAGAATCATGGAAAATGACAAATGCATCGGGCCTCAAAAAATAATTATGCTGAATCACAAAGACAACACCCCTATATACAGCTGCAGGGATCGCTAAGCCTCAGCATCGGCGGCCATACCTCAGCATGAAAATGTGGAACTCCCATCACTTCCATGATAGACAAGGACGGGTCTAACGTTTAACACTTTCACGGTACTGCTACTAGCAGAAAGGTGTGTTCAATGACAACATACGGTGGTTGCAGGCTAGAGATGATCACATTCCCTCAAACTGCACCACCTATCCCCAAGGGCAAATGCACCACCCTGGCTCGAAACCGCAGCCACAATAGGTACCCTCGGCTTGGCTAGGCTGGGCACGCAGTCCCTGCCACCTGCACCCTGATTCCTCCGCGACCATGCTTCCCGCGCCCCGGCCAACTCCGCAAGCCCCGGCTCCCAGGGCTTCCCAGGAGTATGCAGAGCCAAGGCTGCAGGCCGGCCTCGCCTCGCCGCTGCTCTTCCTTGTCTCCTGATAGCCCCACGTTCCTCCCTCGCCTCTCGCTGCCCAGCCCACTCCTCCCTGCGACCCACGCGCGCTCTGCGGCTCCCAGGCCGGGGCCTCACCGTTTGGTTCGGTCCGGAATGACAGCCGTCCCGCTCCCACTTCCCAACACAGAGTGGCGTCAGTTGCTCCCGCGCCCCACGTTGCCAGTCCACACGCTGCCGCCTACTGATGCCGAAATCGGCTTCTAGGAACGCGCCATCTTCAGCGTCGCGGCTGCAAACGACACGGGCGCCCGAATACTACGTCACAGACATCCAGCGCGCACGCGGCAGGGACCAGGAGAAGGCCATAGGCGAACGGCGGGAAGGGGCGGGAGAGAGGGGGAGGAGCTTCCTCTTTGAACGCAAAGGCGCCGGCTGGCGAAATCCGCTGTGTGCGCACGCGCACTGTCTCGAGCGGGGCTCCTGACGACCGCGAGCAGTAACCATGGAAACCATAGGCCCGCCTTGCCCTACTCCCGGGAAAATCAATTGTCTCCTGTCTGACTGAAGCTTAAATGAGAACCGTTTTCGTCTCCTGTTGTGGATATCAACTCTTTGTTGAACGAGTTTGCCACACTGAGCATTATTAAAACAATGTTATTCCCATAGGTCAAGCCTACCCTCAAACATTAGGTCCCTTAACTCGCTGAACCCTCTCTCCAGAGCAGTAACGAGGGCGAAGGATTTAAAACCTCTGGGGCACCTGCGTCCTCTGTCTGCAGTGCCTGGATCTGAGTCCCGCCTCCACTCCCCGCTAACGTGCGGGGAATTGTAAGGTGGTGGCCCAAGGACCTCAGTCCTTGCCTCTAGAGGGGAGACCCAGGTGGAACTCCAGCCTCCTGACTTGCAGGCGTGTGGAGAGAGACCCACCACTTTTGGAAACAAATAAATGCCAAAATGCTAACAGGGTTTCTCAGTAGTTGGACGGCTTTGTGGCCATGCCTTTTTTTTTTTTTCTCAACTGTATATTCTGATCTTATTGAGAGAGAGTACTTCTCAAAATTTAAGTGTGCATAAAATAACATCTGGACCTCATTAAATTACAGGGCCTGGGATGCCTTTGATCTGAGGTGAGAACAAGGCTACTGCATTTTTCATGGCTTTACAAGAGATGCCAATGCTGTCAACCTATAGGCGGCTACCAAGGCTGTGTTACCAAAAACTCAGTCCTTGCCCCCAGTGCCAAATCAAAATAATGAGGACAAGATCTGAGGGCAAAAGGAAGAGGAAGTTTAATCTGTCCATAGATGAGGGGCTAGCAGACCTCTGGATCGAAAGAATTGCCCTCCAGAATGAAGGCATTTTGGGGTTTTAAAGAGGCTACAAGGAAGGAGGAGCTGGTCTGGTTAAATCTTGAAGGATCCACGAGTCTGGTGCCAGGCCCAAGGCATGTACATTCCTTCTTTGTTTCGTCTTTGAGGGCCACAGGTGGTGAGATTAGACCTCACCTGACCATGTGCTGAGATAAGAATTGAGGCAGTGTGCACCTTAGGGTGAGGGCGAGCGGGAAGCCAGCAGTCCAGCCCTGGAGCATCAACAAGATGCTCTGCACGCATTGCCTGTGTGACGTCACCTGGTTAATATGATGGCCAGGTAGGCTTCAATCAGCCTGGGGGCTACACGCGGGCAGCAGTCACTCTGCACTGGACTTGGATTTCCATGCCCAGGCCTGGAATTTCCCCTAAACAAAACCCCTCACGAAAATACTGGCTACCAAAGTGTTAGCTTTTGGAAAAGCAAATGACCTCATGGGTCTTGTAATTAGAATCTTGAACGGCGGACCACAGCACTCCCTCAATTCAGTGAGTTAAGCTAAGGAAGATTGGAGAGGAGCCTGGGACCTGATGGTATCTAGCATCTGTATTCAAGGCACTGTTTGGGAGCTCAGTTTCACTTTCTGCATTTCTAATGAGATTCCAAGAGGTGCCAACTGTGGGGAGCAATCCGGACTAGACTAAGTTGCTCGAATTAGGACTTATTCTATGCATCTGCTCTCCCACAATATGGCGCTGGGAGAGAAGTAAACAGCTTCCGCACAGCTGCCTCCAGTTCAACTGATGGACTGTAGGACTTGCTCCTGATTGGAGAGCAGCGTGCTCGGCGTGTGGGCGGCCGAGTTGGGATTGGCGGAGGAGGACCATAAAGGAGGAGAGAAACGGCATGCACGAGGAACATCTATGGGGAACATCTAGCTGAAGGAACACCCGTGCAGCCCCCAGAGAGCCGGCCGGCGGTGTGCCGCTCCCCTGCGGAAGTGGGGAATGCGGCCAGGGGGAACTGCCCTTCCACGGAGGTGGAAGGGATAGTAGCCAACCCGGGAAGAACCAGCAGCAAACCCGGGGAGGGCCGAGCAGACGAAAGAACAGCGCAGGGTCCTGTGTTGCTCCTCCACGAAGAGGGGGAGCGACACCAACACAGTTGGTTTTTTTTTTTTAAGATTTATTTATTTATTTGGAAATCAGAGTACCAGAGAGAGGCAGAGAGAGCAAGAGACAGAGACAGAAACAGAGAAAGAAAGAGGGAGATCTTCCATTCACTGATTCACTCCCCCAACTGACCACAGGGCTGAAGTGCTGATCTGAAGTCAGGAGCCAGGAGCTTCTTCTGGGTCTCCCACATGGATGCAGGGGTCCAAGGACTTGGGCCATCTTCCACTGCTTTCCCAGACCATAGCAGAGAACTGGATCGGAAATGGAGCAGCCAGGACTCTGATCGGCGCCTGTATGGGATGCTGGCACGGCAGGAGGTGGCTTTACCCACTATGCCACAGCACCAGCCACAAACACTGCTTTTCTATAGATGAGGATACTAACAGCAAGCCTAGTAGGACTGTTTAATAAAGCAATTACCTAATTCAAAATAAAATAAATAGTTTAGTAGTACAGTTGATCTTCTCTTTTTGGGATAATGAACACTTTGAGGAAAATGTAAGAAAATTTGTAACTTAGGAAAATGCCCATAAGTTCATGCAAATTTCACCTGTGACACTAGGATCCCAAGTTAAGATGCTTCAGCCATCATGAATGTAAAATCTAGTTTGCATACTTTGGGCAAAACCAATATGAACAGCTGGACAGATAATCTCATAGCACAGTGTTTCATCACTGTATTCCTGCATTCTCAGGTTTGGGGAGAAAAGGGAAATATTTAAAGTAAATTATCGTTGGGTCTATTCAGGATACATCCAAAATCTTAATATAAATTCAGCACTTTCCCTCGCATGTCATTGAGAACCGTAAAGGGAAAGCAGAAAGTTGATGAAGCAAAGCATTGGCTTCCTCACCCCTCCCTCCCAAGTCGGAATAAACTTCAAGAAAACAAATTAGCATGATAGCAATGTTACTTGTTTGCCTCAATAATTATATTACTATAACCTCTACTAAATATTTCTATGTGTCAGCTACTGATGTAAGTGTTTTATGAGCCTGGCATTGAGCTTTTAAATATTTATTTATTTATTCATGCTTTCACTCATCCATTCATTTATTTGAAAGAGATACAGACAGAAAGAAAAGCCATCACTGTTTCACTCCCCAAATTCCCACAAACAGCTGGAGAACTGAAGCCAGATATCCCGCATGGGTAGTATGAACCCAGTTACGTGAGCCATCCCTGCTGCCTCTCAGGGCACACTTTAGTAGGAAGCTGGGGCCAGATATCAAACTCAGGCACTCTGAAATGGGACGTGAGTGTCTTGTCATCTTAACTACTAGGCCAAACATGTACCCCAACCTTGATAACTTGTATATAATGTGTTGGTTCTCATCCCTATCCTGTATGGAGAATATTCTGCCTTACTTTAAACATTAGAATATAATGCTTACAGGAATTGAGTCATTTATCTAAAGACAAATTCTTTTTTATAATTTTTATTTATTATTATTTGAAAGGCAGAGACAGACATACTGATAGAAATTTTCAGTCTGTTGGTTCACTACCTAAAGTCAGGCCAAATCAAAGCCAGGAGTCCAGAGCCCAGTCCAAGTGGCAGGGACTTAAGTATTTGACACAACACCTGCTCCCTCCCAGGGCACACATTAGCAAGAAACTGGGTTAGACAAGAAGTCAGGGGAGGGGGCCAGTGCCATGGCTCACTTGGTTAATCCTCCACCTGCAGCACCGGCATCCCATATGGGTGCCAGGTTCTAGTCCCGGTTGCTCCTCTTCCAGTCCAGCTCTCTGCTGTGGCCTGGGAGGGCAGTGGAGGATGGCCCAAGTGTGTGGGCCCCTGCACCCACATGGGAGACCAGGAAGAGGCTCCTGGCTCCTGGCTCCTGGCTTTGGATCGGTGCAGTTCCGGCCGTAGCGGCCATTTCGGGGTGAACCAACGGAAGGAGGACCTTTCTCTCTGTCTCTCTCTCACTATCTAACTCTGCCTGTCTAATAAAAAGAAGAAGAAGAAGAAGAAGAAGAAGAAGAAGAAGAAGAAGAAGAAGAAGAAGAAGAAGAAGAAGAAGAAGTCGTCAGGGGAGGACTGAACCCAGACACTCCATTAAGATACACAGACAGCCCAAGCAGTATCTTAAACCGCCGTGTCATGCGCCTCCCCCGAGTCAAATTCTTAAGTGGGAGAGCACAGACTGAAATTTAGATGCAGTACTTGCTTTGTGGTATGCAAAATGAAGATGGCCACATTCTAATTCCCAAAACCTGTGACTATGTTCCTTTACATGGAAAATGGGATTTTGCCAGTGTGATTAATTTCAATGAGATTTTTATATAGAAAGTTATACTGGGCTATCCTATGGTCTAATACAATCATTAGTGTCTTCAGAAGAGGGAGGCAGGAATATCAGAGAGAAGAAAATATGACCTTGGAAGTGCAGGTCAGAGCAGTCCAGGGTCATGAGTCAAGGAGCACAGGTAGGTTACAGGGTTGGCGAGGTCAAGGAAACACATTCTTATAGCCTCTGAAAGAAATTCAACTACACAGATTATTTTATGTCTCTAACCTCCAGAACCCTAAGATAATAAATTTGAGATGCTTTTAAACCACTGGCTTGTGATAATTTGTTAGAACAACAATCAAAAAACTGATACCTGGGCCAGTGCTGTGGCGTAGCAGGTGAAGCCGCCACCTGTAGTGCCAGCATCCCATATGGGTGCAAGTTTGAGACCTGGCTGCTCCGCTTCCAATCCAGTTCTTTGCTAATAGCCTGGGAAAGCAGTGGAAGATGGCCCAAGTCCTTGCACCTCTGCACCCATGTGGGAGACCCAGAAAAAGCTCCTGGCTCCTGGCTTCAGCCCAGTAC